AGGGAGGGAGGGAGAGAGGGAGGGAGGGAGGGGGAGCAAGCGCTGAGAGAGCGAGCACTGGGACGGGGGCAAGAGGTACAGGGGAGATGGGATAGAGAGGGAGGAGCGGGAAGGAGGGGATAATTTTGATGGAATGCCCATGGGAAGGTGTGGGGCATGTGGGAAGAAGGCGCGAAAATTCGGTGAAGACGTGGTGGGATTCAGGAGCACGATTTGACGCCTTGGGGAAGGGGGAGGAGGGTGGTTGATTTGCACTATTAAAGCCATCTGTGGTGTAAGATATGAACGAAAATAAGCACCGAGATGTAGAGTTGAGCATGTAAAACAGACGCAGACGAGATACATCGATCTGTAGACGCAATCTTTGGAGCATAAAATTTGATGTGTTTTTGGAACCCTGAACTGGAAGCGCTTTTGTTTTTCCAATGCTTTTGTTCTCAGTCGTTATTGTCAGCGTTCGAATTACTGAATCGTTGTTTTGAATGTTTCCTGGGCAGCTTGGAGAGAAGCAATGAGGTTACACGAAGATTGAAGTTGGACTGATCTACGATGCTTGCTACCCGAACAAAACTACAGCGCGGCTTTTTGATCACATTGGCTCTTCTTGTTTGCATACTTGTTCTACAGCGAATATCCTCACCAGGTTATTCTCACTTTACATGCTTGCCGCTTCTTGAAGTCCAGCCTTACATTTGCATTACAGCAGCATCCAATCACGCTGTCGAAGAATCCCAACAGAAATTACTCTTTGGGGTAGCGATACTCTTCTTACTCATGCCTTTCACTCACGCTCTCGCAGGTTCCGGAGTCTTATCAGTCGGAGACTGTCCACCGGAATCCAGTACATCAGAAGCAGCCTCTGAGCTGGACGATTGCTGAACAAACGTGCAGATCCGGTCCTCTGACACCCTCGGGGAGGCGCTTCCACCTGTTGCCAGGGAGGTAGAGCCACCAGGGTACTTCCAGGTACTTGATGGCCCAGATTATAAGACAATCCGTTGATCTCCTCTCTCAAGATTCAGTTTGATGGCTCGCTGAAGCACGACAAGGGAACGACCCTGAACCTGGAGGTAGTTTCGTTCACCCTCCTCCTCAGTGTTGCAGATGAACTCGCTCAATGTGCAGAGTCCGAGCAGTCGTCCAGCAGTGACAAGCCCTAAGAAGGTCAAGCAAGCGCCGAAGAGGAGGAACAACGAGCCAGTAGGAGTTCATGAAGTGGACACACCGGAGGGAAAGGTCTGCTAGTATGCCCGTTGCAGTGCGCTCCCTGACAGAAGTGAGCAGGTGATATATTATCCGTATATCCCCAAGGATCTCGGGCCCTACATGAAAGCAGGTCTGGTGCTCAGCGGTTGAATCATGGTGTCTGACATGCGCGTCAAGAGGGTGAAGTTTCAAACAAGGGAACTCAACCTCAGCTGGCATTTGGCAACGATCAGATTGCAGCTGTCCTCCAGCAGCCCAGCGGGGAATGGATCGCTCCGTGAGTCTGAATGTTTGATCTAGGATTGTTTGGCTGATAAGGCATGTAGAAGCGGAAACTACAAGCAACTATCTCAGGTTCTTGGATTTGCGTTTGAAGCTTCCTGCCTTCTCACCTGTATTGCTTCAGGCTCTTCAATCTGCAACAAACTCACAAGACCTCCAGCGCCTCGAGTCTGATTTCGAGTACTCGAGCTGACCAGAGAGTTGATCCAGTCTGAGAGGTGTCACAGATCATTGAAAGAAGAGCAGAAGAAGCGGATTCAACGGATGAAAGACAAAGTACCGTGTCTTACAGTGAACTCGTCATCATTCACTGCCATCGCAGTTGTGGGATGAACACGAAAAATTCAGGCGGCTCAATGGGCAGGTCGAGGACATGTGAGTTGAACTAATGGCCTTCTCTTCTTCATTCAATTTTGACTTGGATTGTAGGAGGGTACAGCTGAGGGAGTTAGGCTACAAGTGGCGGAATGGGCCATGGCCTGATCGGGGTACGCCAGGATTGCCCGGAAAGCAGGTCGATGATTTTTCATTCGTTATCTCCTCAAGCATCTCGTACTTTCGTTGCCATTCCCGTCCCTTTTAGTCCACCTCTTTATGCAGCTGCCACTTGAACTTGAACTCTCACTGCCCTGTCTTCTCCATCGCCGCTCCGTCCTCTTCACCGGCCACTTCCCTGCGAGATCCATGTTTTGCTGGCCCGTTTCCTCTGAAGATGCTCAACAGGGCCCGGCGGGCCCGGCGGGAACTAACGGAGCAGAAGGTTTTTGACAACTTTTCCGTCGTGGGCATGTGACGTACTGGCAGGACCTCCGGGGCCTCCGGGGCCTCCAGGCCACAAGGGGAAAGTGGTGAGTGAAGGGAGGGCGAGGAGAGGATGGAAAATGATGGCGATGGCTGCAGATTACAGTGAGAGAGGTTGTGCACAAAGGGGACAACCCCAAGATGTTGCAAACTCTTGTCAAGAAAGACGTCGATGCGTTTCTGGAGGTGATCCTCCCTTTCCTGGAGTCGGGCCCAGGGACTGAGCAGCTGTGTCCAGAGTCACGTGGCGAAGGAGCTGAAGCAAGAGGGGCAGAAGCTGAAGCTGATGGAGCAGGCGAACAAGGTCCTTGAAGGAAGTTTGCTGGAGGCGGCGATACTTATATCACCTCCCAGCGGCTGTTGCAGAAGATGAAGGAAGCGTCGAAGGGGCGGTGGACTTTCTCGAAGGAAGATAAGGTCCTTGCAGCTGCCTTGCTCCCTCCAGCTCTTAAAACTGACGCGCGTCCAGAATCTTGTGCTCCACCCTATCAGGACCGTCAAGGAGCAGATTGAGAAATACATGAAGAGCTCCAGGTTGCTACTCCCTCTCTCCCTCCTGGTGGGCTCCTGACACTGTGAGAAGAAAACTACGCAAACTGCCAGCGGGATGGAAGCGAGAAGAAGACAGGAACGGGAGGTGAGATGCGAAGTGCAGTGTAATGTTCTAGTAGGCTGACGGTCGTGAATCTGTCAGGATATACTACATCAACCACAAACTTCACAAGTCATCATGGACGTTCCCATCGTCGGATATTGTTCATAAGCACAGCAAGTGAAAGATATCGTTTGCAAGCTCGGTCCTTCCTTTTTCTTCTCACTTCCTCCCCCACCGCTTCACTCAGCGCTATTGGTGGAGGTGCAACGAGCCTTGCTTGAGACTTTCTCGCAGCAGTTCACCTTCCAACTCCCGGATCTTTTCTCCTGCCTTGTACTGAAGATCCTCAGAGGCTGAGAGCTGGTTCTGAGCCTCTTCTAGACTCCTTTCCAGGCACTCAATGTATCCATGCTGCTTTCTCACATCCAACGACAGTCGGACAACGCAAGTGTCAACTTCGTTGATCTCCGTCAGCAGTCGCAGGAGTTCCTGGGTTGTCACATGCAGCGTCGATCGGCGGCAAGTTTGACTCGCTTTCACGAACTTCTTCCATTCAAGAAGTGACGGTCTAGCCCAACATTCGAACTGGATCCTGCGAAACTTGCCGATCCTCTTGACTTGTCGCCGCCAAGTTGACAAGAGAGCAGAGAGAAGCTGGACAGCAGCTTTGCAAGTGAGAGAGTGCAGCAGCGAGAGACGAAGAGATTTGGTCTTTTTAACCTGTTTCCACCAAGAGAAGCTGGACAGAAGTGCCTTCAAGTTGTACTTGTGCCGAGAAAGCTTGCTCTTAGCCTCTTGGAGTTCTCTTGACAACTTCTTCTCTTGCGCTGAGGTTCGCCACATTAAGCTACTCCTCATTAACAACCTCTCCACGATTCTGCCTGCCAGTCTCCGCAACTTCCTTCCCGTCACGACATTCCTGCGTATCCTGTTCCAGGATTGCCTCAACCGTCGTCCTTCTCTTTTGGCCAAGGCGCGTTCGCAGATAGCGTTGGCTCTTTCGTTCATCCTCAACTGAGAGCATCTTTGCTCTTCTGCCATGCTCGAGGCCTTGAGCATCGCAGTCATCGAGTTCGCTCTCTTCTCAACGCTCTTTGCAAACGAGCTCACAAGACGGTCAACCAGCTTGCCCCGCACGAGCCATTCTTTCAGTCGAAAGGCCACGAGGTTCCTCAAAGTCTCTGATAGGGCTGACTTTGCAGCATCAAGATGTCGCTGCTCCAGTGTTGACATCTCCTCCTCCACGTTCCTCAGTCTTCCTATAGCCGTGCACGTTGCCCTGAGCGTCCAGATGATGTTGACAGGAGCAAGGTACAGACTCGCTGTTACCAGCTGGGTGCTTCTCTGCGCAACAAGCTGGATGGGCTTCCGCAATTCCATCACCCAATCGACAATTCTCTCTGACCTTGAAAGCAAGGAAGGGTCGTGAAAAGTCCTGCTCAAAATTCCCATGTCTTCCCTGCTTGCCCTCGAGTCATTGACGTACAGCACATGATCTCCGACTGCCAAGGGAGAGAAGAAAGCAGGAGAACCAGGCTCAATGTCCGTGATAACAACCTTCCCATCTTCCATCATCCAACTCAGTCCAGCCGACGCGTGAAACTCTTCTTCATCCTCCTCCTCCTCCTCCTTCCATGGAATACCATGAGCGTCATGCCGTGCCTTCAACTGTGGCTCCTCCCTCAGATTCTGCCCTCCTCCTCTCACCACCATGTCACTTCTCTCAGCATTTCTCATTACGCGAACTCTGTCTAAGAATCCGATCTCTTGCATTTCAGCCTCCCAATCAGGTCGTATTGCTGACAAGTTAGAAAAACACACCAAATCCTCGTATCTTTGCTTGACTGCGTGCTCTACTTTCCCCTTCACCATGTTCCATTCGGGAACCTGCTCCTCCGCTCTCCTGGTCGCTCCCTCAGTCCGTCTAAGTGCTTCTTTACAAACTTCGCTCATCCACTCCGCTCGCCGCTGCAAGTTCGCCATTTCTCGAACCCCTTCCTCGAACATCTTGTGACTTCTTAAGCCCCCAACCATCATCTGTCTTCTTGGAAAAAACTGATCTTCTCCTCCTCCTCCCCTTACTCCTCCTCCTCCTCCTCCTCCTCCTCCGCCGCCGCCGCCGCCGCCGCCGACCCCTGACCCCGCTCGCATTTATGGGTAGGAACCGTTACAGCGCACGTTATTCGAGGGGGCGGAAATGGCGGGCAGTTTCTCAAGTTTGACATCTTTTTTGGTACCCTACCCACTGAGAGGGTGGGAGCTGTACAAAGGAGGGGTTACGGTTCAAAATCTTTACAAGACCCCTACTTTCCCCATGTTCTACCCCCTTATTCCCCCAACACAAATTGCGACATCCGCGCCCCACCCCACCCCCACCCCCACATGTATATCAACATGCCGGCCTGGTTAATTTATTGCTGCTACCCCACCCACTTAATTCCACTCAAATGTGGATTAGGAAAGGGGTAGGTGTATCCGGCAAGTGCTGAGGTGGGTGGGGTACCCTTTCTGAGTCGGGAGAAGGGGGTAGCGTAGGAGTTGCTGCCGACACCCATCGTGGTCACGGTTGTTTTTTCTTGTTTTTCCTTTTTTTTTTCCTCAGTAGTAACCAAGAGGTATGTAGTTATCACAACTCCATACATCCATATCTGATTTCCTGTCTTTTTATGTCATTACCTGTCTTGCCTTCCTCCTCCTCCCTCCCAGCTGGCCACAGCCTCCTTCACTTGACTTGTTATCCTCGCCCCTCCTCTGCGCGCTTTGTCTGGCTTGTTGTTTCCCCATCCTTCCCTGACACTCCTTCTCCGCTCCTCTTTTCCCGCTCCATATCCTCCACCTCTTCCTCCTCTTATCTCAACACCAACTAAATCTCTTCTTTATTTGTCTCTCTCGTCATCATCGTATTCACAACACGTCTCCCGACTGTTCGACATTCTACTTCATCCACGACCCACACACATACACAACTTCTTCATCTGCCATCTTCTTGCACTTCCGCGACTGAAGAATGTGCTACATCAGGTTTCGTTAAGAGTCTACCGCCAGCTCTATCTGCCTCAAGGCCGCAGAAACATGCAAGGGTGGCTGAAATCAGGTTTCCGGAAAAAGGCAATCGAAAGGTTCAAGAAAAGATTCAACAAGAAGAAGGCTACTCTCGATGAGTCGATCCGTCCCATGCCGAATGCACACCTTTGCATTCGGGACTCCGTGCTCGGGCTTGCTGGAACGAGAGGGAACTGCTGGCAGGAAAGGAGAACAGGTAAACTTGCTCTGCTCTTGTGCGAACCAGTCTTGTTTGAAGATAACAACAACACTACAGTGGTCACAGCGGAGTACGTTGCCTTCGGTTGGGCACCCGACGGCGGTAAGAAGCAACTCCCTGTCCTGTCGGTTGTGTGAGCGTGAGTTGTTGGTATGTTTACAGATACCATTGTCGACTGGATCCCACTTCATGAGATTGAGTATGTTGCTCACTGCCGTGCGGACGAGCTGCCGCAAGACTCTCGTGATCAGCCAGTCGAGATCGAGTACTACGACACCAACATGAAGCAGCTGAAAAGAACTTTGACCTATCCCAGCAAGCACTTTCGACCTCAGACAGAGTTCAAGATCAAGACCATAGAGGACGGGTTCAACAGCGGCCGACTCTACATCCTCAAGGCCTCGTCTGAGTCCGAGTGCTCCGACTGGATGCAGACCATCAACGAGTTCGTCGTGAACGCGAGGAAGTTGTGGAGGAAGCGTCTTCTGTTCATCCAGTTCAAGAGGAAACTTGCAAACTTCCACGACTCCGACGGAGTTCAAATCTTCATCGCACTCCTCATCGCAGCCAACTTTGCGGCCACAGTCACGCAGCTGGAGATGTTGCCTGCCCCAGACTCCACCTTGTTCAAGCAGCTCGACCAGCTGGACTTGAGCTTTACCATCCTCTTCGCGGTTGATCTAGCGATCAACATGACCGCGAACTTCTGGTGGAGATTCTGGAAGGTAGATCGTGCTCTTGACTCCTCGGTTTGTGACCTTGTTTCTTCCCTTTGCCCCTCCTGTCGGACTGCAGAACGGTTGGAATGTCTTCGATTTCATCGTGGTGAGCAAATTTGTTAATCATGTCAGATGAGGGCAGGGAATGGAAGCAGGAGCTGGAGCGGGAGCAGGAGCAGGAGCTGGAGCGCATAGATGAAGTGGAAAAGGAGGAGCAGGAGCAGGAGCAGGAGCACATAGATAAGTGGAAAATGAGGAGCAGGAGCAGGAGCACATAGATAAGTGGAAAAGGAGGAGGAGGAGGAGGAGGAGGAGGAGGAGGAGGAGGAGGAGGAGGAGGAGGAGGAGGAGGAGGAGGAGGAGGAGGAGGAGGAGGAGGAGGAGGAGGAGGAGGAGGAGGAGGAGGAGGAGGAGGAGGAGGAGGAGGAGGAGGAGGAGGAGGAGGAGGAGGAGGAGGAGGTAGTAGG